TGGGAGACGGGGAGCGAGAAAGAGGGAGAGAGGGGAGTGGGACAGAAGGTGGAGGAGATGAGAGGGAGAAAGAGAAAGAGAGAGAGAGAGAGAGAGAGAGAGTAATGAACTATTGCCTCTGACAAAGTTTACGTAGTCAGAAAAAATGATATTGGTCGTATTCCTCTTAATTAAATTTAATGATAATTCAGATAATTCAGTCATAAATACAGAATAGATAATTATATCAGCCAGGACCTCTAAGAAGCAACTTGTGCTTGTACATGAGGCCCCTATCAAGGTTAACACAATAATACATCTGTAAAGCGCTTCGAGACATTTGTATTAAGCGCTATATAAAAGCGTAATATTATTATTATTATTATTATTATTATTATTACATTAAATAGCGAAATGAATCAAGCTTACTAGGTTAATGTACGTACATTAAGAAGAAGAAAGAAATAAAACACCAACCATTAACTATCAGCAGGTATCACGCATGTATATAATACACCTATAATCACACTCAAACACAAGCACTACAAAAGGGAGAGTACAGAATGAGAAAGAGAAGAAAGGGAAGAGGTGAGAAAAAAGAAAGATAAGAAATGGTCTACTCAGTCAAGGATTGTTTAAGGACATTCTCTTTTCATGGACATTCTCTTTTCATGAACCGCCCAGGCATCGCTAGGGCTCTACATCCTGCTCGACTTCTCCAAAAACGCTCGGTGCCCGGGCGTTCGCCGCCCGGACACCGACTTAATCGAGCGTTCGCCGTCAAGCGATTTAGGTCAAAAATCAAAGCCGCTAGGTCAAAGATTGCTGACCGATTTTAAACTCGGTGCCTGGGCAAAATTGGCTCAAATCTCGCCGCCCGGCCGCCGAGCAGGCTACTTTTAGGTGATGTGACCATAGCTTTAATTTCAGCGGCGACCGAGCGGGCTCCTAATCGGTCGGTCGCCGCTCTGAGATGTGACCATAGCTAAACTGACTTTACACACCGGAGATAGAGGGGTGCTTTCAAAGAGAGGGAACATGCATGCGCGTACCCTAGATAACACAGAGAGGTGGGGGGGGGGGGGAGAAAGAAGTCGGATGAGAAAGGGGGAAAGACAAGGAAATGGCGCAAAGTGACATTTACGACGAATAAGGGAAAAACTGTAATCGGGAGATTTGGGGTCATTCAAGAAGGCTCGGGAAACGTTATTGAATAGAGGGGGCCGGCCGCATAAAATCTCGGTCAGCCAATTCAAAGTTAAACGTTAAAAACAGCACCTACGCTACAAAGGTCATCACTCTTAAGTGAGAAATTTGAAAAGGGCACAATATTTTGGATGTTTTTTAAATACAAGCTATATATTCAACAGTCAAACTTTAAATTAACGGTAAAGGGGACGATTCACAACTCTTTTGTTGCCCTTCAATTGGCTTCAGCTCATACCAACTCGCTTGTGCTTGTATTTGAACTCATATTGGTAGTAATCATGGACAGGGGCGGTGATCCTGGGCCCGATAGGTGGATACGTCCCCCAGGAACTTTAGAAATATAGGTAGAAAGAAATATAGCGGAAAAACGTAAATATTGGGCCTAGGGATTTTCTAGAAGGCATAATTTCTGCACTTAACATTGCCAAATATCACTTGGTCGCTACGCCCCCTCGCCCAATAACACAAAACTATGATATGACGCTCCCAGCCGTGATTTATCCACGGTTGGTGCATGTAATAGATCTTTTTTTCTCTCCATTTCTACTAACCTTATTGTGTGCTATCACAATCATGATTGTTTCGTTTTCTCTTTAAAGCAGGCGCGTAGCCAGGGGCGGTAGGGGCAGTAAGAGACAAAGGAAGAAAAAGGAGCAGAACATTTTTTTTGTTGAAATTTCTGACAAGTCGAATACGGTACAACCAAAGTGTCTTCTTTCTCTAATAATTTAATGAAGCGTCAAAGCTTACTCGCTACGCGCGGGCTGGAAGGAAACTGAATTCAGACAATGGTACAACGAATCGTCTTCTTTCTCTAATAATTTAATGAACTAAAGAAGCTTCCACGATTCGCGCGAGAGGGAAAAAACTGAATTCAAACAAGGATTAAGAGTCGAGAACGGCACAACGAATCGTCTCCTTTCTCGAATAATTCAATGAAACGTCAAAGCTTACGCGCTTCGCGCGGGAGGGGGAAAACTGAATTCTGTCAAGTAATAAGGGTCAAGAATGGTACAACAAATCGTCTTTTTTCTCTAATAATTTCATGAAACATCAAAGTTTCTGCGCTTTGCGCGTTATGGGGAGGGGAAAAACAGCGGGCTGCCCGAATACGAATTTGTGATATCTTTTCTCGTTTATTTTGGTGATGTGAATAACACTTTCACGAATACATATTATGCTCCAATTTGTAACCCTAACGTGCCTGCACTGCATTGGGTCAGTGTCTTGTGCTATAGTGCAGCCAAACGCGGACGAAGTGTGCCCCTAATAACAATCCGCACAGAATCTAGTCCTCATTAAGAAGCTTAATTCCGTTGCATGAGTATTCACTGATACAAAAGTACATGTAAATATTAATTAAGATATAACAACCTTCTGACACAAGACAGGAAATCGTTAATTAGTGCAGTGGAAAGAGAACTTTCTTGTAATTATCAATGCGCGGGTGATGAGGGGTGTTGCAAAGCCCGAGTTGAGGACTCAACATTTATGAATGGGGTTTTTCACCAGGAAAAACCTGGGGACTGTCGCTTCGACTTGAAGAACTTGACAAATGGGGATGGGGGGGGGGGGGGGGGGGGCGGGGGGGGGGGGGGGGGGTTCGACTGGAACTGTCAATGGGATGGGGTGGTGGGGGGGGGGGGGAGGGGGGGTTTCTTCCGAAAGAAATTAGTGATTGCTTAAATGAAAATGAAGAAGAAAAATGAAGAATAAAGAAAGTGAAAAGCAAGAAGGAAGTCAAGCTGTACTAGAGACTGCGTGCCATGCAGGTAAAAAAAAAGAAAAGTCTAGGCCACTGACTGAGAAGGCGATCGAAGAAGACGAAGAAAAAGAAAAAGGCCGCGACCCGGAGAGAGAGGGAGAGAATTAACATTTCTGAGAGAGGGAGAGAGAAAGAGAGAGAGAGAGAGACAGCGTGTCCACACACAAAACAATTTATCCCGAAACTCTATAACGAAACGTCGTATAAATAATCATCGTATAAATTCCAGGATGTCCACACACACAGAGAAAGTAATCCTGAAACTCTACACAGCGAAATGTCGTATAGGTGCGCAGTTTGCTACTGCGGTCATGAAATGGAAGCGGAAATGAGAGGTCTGGTCTCCTTTCGCTCGAGGTCACGTTAAGCCCCGCCCAGTTAGTTACACTAGTTTAATACACCCCCCTGTCCACACACAAAATTTTCCCTGATTAGGCGTGATTCTTTATTGAGTTTCAGTTCGAACGATGCCCAAACCTGCGTTTCGTTAGACTAGTTTCGTTATACGACGTATCGTTAGTGAGCGTCCACATACACAATTTTCATCGTAAAACTATCGCGAAACGGTATAGCTAATCACGCCTAATCACGGAAAATGTTGTGTGTGGACAGGGGGAATGACGGACACTTTGGGAATTGAGAGACAGACTTAAATATACGTGAGGAGAGAGGGATTGAGAGAGAGGCGGGGAGAGAGAGAGAACTAGGTAAGGGAGAGATAGATAGAAAGGAGAGGAGACTGAATTAGGGTTGAGGTAGCCTGAAAGACACAGAGTCGAAGAGAGAGAGAGAGAACGAGACGGAAAGTAGGGCAAACGCTATGTTTGGAAAACTAGTTTATCAGCTGGGTTATAGGCCCTCTCTGCAGCAAGCAAAAAGGGGGTATTTCAATACCGACTTTATGGCCATTTACTCGGATTTGCGAGCTACAGACCTAAAACGGTGAATGTTGATATCGGACAAGAGACTTAACGTGAGCCTGCCCGCTTTCCAAAATTGTGCTTGCTTGTAGGTACCGGTATTGTGCTTCTAATACGACCTTGTCAGTATTGGTATGTTGAGTTGAAATTTACGCCCCCCCCCCCCCCCCCCCCTATTGGAAAATTCTTGATCCGCGCCTCCTATCATAATGACATCCTACAAAACAACACCCGTTTCTCACAATGGATCCGCCAGTTTATACATGACTGTTACACCGGTTAGTCCGTTGTGATCGGGAAACTGTACTCACAACAAAATGAACTATTGAGCTCTTAGCTTTGTGTAATATACCATCGAACACAAGGTAAATTCTTCGGATAAAAAGCAAAGAGCTACATTGTAAGAAGGGCTCCCAACGTTTTATCGTGGACAAATTGCATGCATTATTTGTGAACTGATTGGACAATCTTCAATATCATTTTAAAGCAACATACCTATCATGCTATATTTAGATAGACGTTGGTTTATGTGAAGGATCCGACGAATAAAGTGGAGATATCAAACTTAAACTAACGCCAGAACTGTCCGAGACGGATTCTTTAATTATAACGTTGAATGTGGTGGTGGTTATTTTACCTGACTGCTAAAAAAGCATAAATGCTTGTAAGTAAAACAACCAGACGGACGACGGCTTTAGACCCTCTCCGATGGGACCTGGTCATGAGGATTAATACCTTACCAAAGGGCACTAACGCATCGACATGGTTTTGAACCCGGGTCACCGGATCACGAGACCACTGCTCTACTACGACTGAGCTAACGCGACTGAGCTAACGCGCCTCCTCAAGAATTAGAATTATGCTCGCAAGTATTACTTTATCAAATTCGATAAGTTTTCAAAGCATAGTCATTTGTAAGCTACGAATAGTTTAAACCTGCAGGGTAACAGAGAAAAATATATACATCTCAAGCTGTGAAGCAGGTAACTTCACTGACGTATGTAGTCTCTTCCAAGAACGATCCACAGAACGCAAAGGTGACTTTGACAAACACGAAATATTAGGTCTAGAACGAAGACAAATCCATAAGATTTGCTTCTCAATTGGGCCCAAAGACATAGCAAAACATGGCTGAAAAGACAGCGAAGGAGCCTTCTGTAGTCGGTAAAGCACTACTCACGGCAGCCAGAAATGGTCATCTCGATGTAGTTAAGCATCTCATTGGTCAAGGAGCACAGGTTGATAATCCCACTACAAATGGTACGACGGCTCTTCTTTTTGCATCAGATGCAGGTCATCGTGACGTAGTTGAGTACCTCGTTGTGTCAAGGAGCGAAGGTTGAGGAGTGTAATAATAATGATTTGACACCACTTCAGGTTGCATCACAAAAGGGTCATCTTGACGTAGTTGAGTACCTCGTTGGTCAAGGAGCAAAGGTTGAGAGAGGTGGTAATAAAGGTTCAAAACCACTTCATGTTGCATCACAACAGGGTCATCTTGACGTAGTTAAGTACCTCATTGGTCAAGGAGCAAAGGTTAAGGAGGGTGATGATAATGGTTTTACACCACTTCATGCTGCATCAACAAAGGGTCATCTTGACGTAGTTGCGTACCTCGTTGGTCGAGGAGCACAGGTTGAGAGAGGTGCTAATAAGGCTCGACTCCACTTCTTGCTGCTGCATCAATCAATGGTTATCTTGATGTAGTTAAGTTTCTCATCGGTAAAGGAGCACAGATTGATAAGCATACTAACTTGGGTAAGACGGCTCTTCTTTTTGCATCAGATGAAGGTCATCGTGACGTAGTTTGAGTACCTCGTTGGTCAAGGAGCAAAGGTTGAGGAGTGTGATAATAAGGGTTTTACACCACTTCATGTTGCATCACAAAAGGGTCATCTTGACGTAGTTGAGTACCTCGTTGGTCAAGGAGCAAAGGTTGAGAAGTGTGATAATGATTTGACACCACTTCAGGTTGCATCACTAAAGGGTCATCTTGACGTAGTTGAGTACCTCGTTGGTCAAGGAGCAAAGGTTGAGAGAGGTGGTATTAAAGGTTCAAAACCACTTCATGTTGCATCACAAGAGGGTCATCTTGACGTAGTTAAGTACTCGTTGGTCAAGGAGCACAGGTTAAGGAGGGTGATAATAATGGTTACACACCACTTTATGTTGCATCACAAATGGGTCATCTTGACGTAGTTCAGTACCTCGTTGGTCAAGGAGCAAAGGTTAAGGAGGGTGATAATAATGGTTTTACACCACTTCATGTTGCATCAAAAAAGGGTCATCTTGACGTACTTAAGTACCTCGTTGGCCAAGGAGCACAGTTTGACACGTGTGATCATGATGATAAGACACCTCTTCACTGTGCATCACGCAATGGTCATCCCGATGTAGTTAAGTTTCTCATCGGTAAAGATAAGCACGGATTGATCAGCATACGAAATTGGGTACGACTGCTCTTCATTATGACTTTGCTTTCTTTCTTTGGTGCATCAGATGCAGGTCATCGTGACGTAGTTAAGTACCTCGTTGATCAAGGAGCAAAGGTTAAGGAGGGTGATAATAATGGTTTTACACACCACTTTATGTTGCATCTCATGATGGTCATCTTGACGTAGTTGAGTACCTCGTTGGTCAAGGAGCACAGGTTGAGAGAGGTGCTAATAATGGTTTTACACCACTTCATGGTGCATCACGCATGGTCATCTGTCATCTTGATGTAGTTCAATACCTCGTTGGTCAAGGAGCACATGTAAAGAGGGAAAATAATGCTGGTGAGACACCACTTCTTGTTGCATCAAGCAATGGTCATCTTGATGTAGTTCAGTATCTCACGAGTAAACAAGCAAAGAAAGAAGAAGCACCACCTGAAGGTATGATTGTCATTTTAACAGTAATCACACTATTTCATGTTTAAAAAAAGTGATGTATTTATAGGGACAAATCTGTCATAATAATTGATTTTATTCCACATTTTGTTTAAAGGTATATGTAAATTTCCCCTTTTAAATTAATACGATGTAATATTTTCTTCTTCAATCTTTTAAATGATGAATTTTTTACCCCGACTAACCCAGATTTCAGAACCAGATTTCCCTGATCCTATAACTGAACGAGTTGTATACAAAATCAATTATGTATTGCCGTTCGGTCCAATACCGAATTGTAAACATGTTCTAACAATAAATTCTGGGCCCTGATTTATAAAGCCTGTTATCAAACATAACAAATGCTAAATTTCTATGAAAATGTTGCTCTCAGCCAATCAAATGCGAGGATTTCAGTAGCTTATAACAGTTATTGTAACTTGTTACAGCCCTGATCCGTGTACTCTACTTTACGAATTAAGAACGAATTTAAATTTAAATACAAACTTAGTTGAAGAATTGGATTGTTCAATGTGCATCTGTGACAAAATGAATTGATATTTAAAAGTATTATACCTAATGGATATAGGACTCAGTGACTATTCCCGATGGGGGGAGGGGGGGTGGCAGTCCCATTATTAGTTCATATTAGCACGCACGCGCGAGCCACACAATAACAAAGAGAAAACAAAAATTGTTGGTTAAAACGCATAACGCTTACACAAAATTATTGATTATTGGACAAAATATTGATGGAAAAAATTGTGTTTGGACGAAATGATGTAAGACCATATGAAAATTGGACCAAAGGGTTATTAACACTAAATTTTTTTTCTGTGTGCATAGGGTCTGCAAGTGTTTCAGAGGCGTCTACCGCGATGGAATCAGTGAATTTGAACGTCGTTACTGATGACAATGTTAAACAGAAAGGTACACAATCTGAAATAAGCCTGAATTTAGTCTAAAAAAACACGAGACTAGAAATGACAAGATATCCGAAGGTAGAGAAGACATTTCAATAAAAATTTGAGTGTATATTTTTTGCAGTAAAGTGTACGTTTGGTATGAATTTCACGGTAAGATTTAAAAAAACGTATACATGTATATAGTTTTGTTATTTTTCCTCACAATTAAGCACAATCAGTTGGATAAGTGCACAATAGTAATCACCATAGCGTATTTTAGAGAGATAGTTGTGTGACACGCGCACACGTACTCGATCAAAGCTCAATTTATTGAGCTCCAAATAGTTCCCTCTCACATACAATAATGTGGAAAGGGACTACTTTAGCGTTCCATGTCTTGAACCTTAAGGCGTACACGTGCGTTTGCCACAATTATCTCTCTCAATACACTTTGGTAATTGCTTCGTCGTTCCATAATAAACATTTCCGTTAACTCTTATCATGCCACAGGGCTAATCCCCATTGTGTCAGGCCCCAAATCCTCCCGTGCCAGGTTGTTTTGGAGATAATCTAATTAACGCGAGGGTTCTATGAATAGCGAGTGCAAAATACACAGCACAGTCCAATGAGCATGAACAATAACTGCTATTATGAATGCTGCATTGCACGCACATGGCACTCAAGCGATAGCTCTCTCGCATGGACAAAGCAGTATAACGATAGCGTGCATGCAGCCTCATGGCAGGCTATGAGTTTAAAAGCCTTTCTCGGGGAAATTACTACCCAAGTGTTTCAACTCATACAACTCGTGATGTTTTTATTTAGCATGTAAGCTGTCTAATTTAGGAAACAACTAGCATTTTCCCCTAATTTACTTTCTCTAAATTATTCACCTGAGAAAGCACACATCTACTACGATCCTTCAACCTTTTTTTT